GATAGCAAACTGCTCAGGCTACAAAGGTGATACGAGCCCTACGTATGCTAAACCAGTCTGACGAACGCAAGGTGATCCGGGATATCACATGCTCTACCAAGCAGAGCTAGGAGACACAGACTTCATTACAGGAGACTATCTTGCCGAAGTCAACATCGCGGAAAACGCCCAGGCACATGCAGCGGGCAAGCATCCTGGATGGGAGAAAACAGCTTGGGATGGTATCGAGCAGACGATGGACTTATTGAATGAGAAGAGGATCAAAGTCGTTGTCAATGGGGGTGCGCACAATCCAAAGGGGTTGGCGGAGAAGGTGCATGAACTCGTGAGTCTCGTCTCATCGATGTAGTCGCTACAAGGTTTAGTTGACTGAGAGATGCACAGGTCGTAAGCAAAGGGTACGATTTGAAGGTTGCATACGTATCTGGCGATAACCTGATGGATGAGATGAAGGATATCAAAGAGAAAGGTTTACCGCCGCATCTAGATTCTGATAACAGCGAGGTAACGGTCGCGGACCACACGCTTGACGTCCTGAAAAGCGACAAACCAATCGTCAGTGCGAACGTCTACCTCGGCGCTCGCGAAATCGTCAAAGGTCTCGAAGAAGGCGCAGACATCATTATTGCTGGTCGTGTTGCGGACGCCAGCCCCGTAATCGGTGCTGCATGGTACTGGTACTCGTGGCGTGACACCGACTTCGATGCGCTTGCAGGAGCACTAATTGCAGGCCATCTCATCGAATGCAGTGGCTATGTAACGGGCTCGAATTTCGCGGGCTTCTACGAATATCCGCTGGATGACCTATACGATATCACCTTCGGTATCGCAGAAGTCGAAAAGGACGGAACATGTGTGATCACGAAGCATGAAGCAAGGAAAGGTTTTGTTACGGAAGACACTGTCAAATGTCAGTTTCTATACGAGCTTCAAGGCAACGTGTACCTGAATAGCGATGTCAAGGCTATCTTGGATGAGGTTCAGGTCAAAGCTGAAGGTAACAACAGGTACGCTCGATCATCCTTCACTTACATGGCATGCTGGCAGGAGCAATCTCGCTGACCATAGGAAGAGTTCGTCTGTGGGGCGTCAAAGGCAAACCACCCCCACCCACTACGAAACTCGCAATCTTCTATCAAGCAGGCTACCAATCCGAGATTGTCGTCAATGCAACGGGGTATGCCACAGCTGAGAAATTCGATCTCTGGGAACGTATGATCAAGTTTGGCCTGAAACAGAAGGGCCTACTGGACAGATTCGACATCTTGGAATTCCAGCGCATAGGCATGCCGGAGACCGACCCGAAGAGCCAGCTCAGAAGTACATCGTATTGTCGGATCTTCGCGGAGAGCGGCGATCCGAACGCGAACCTGGGCCTAGCGAGTCTACTGGCAGACTTTGCGATGCAGCACTACTCAGGCTTTCATAGTACCATGGATCATCGCACTGCAATACCGAAACCGTACTTGAGCTTCTATCCAGCGATTTGGCCGCAGAACAAGCTGAAGACGGCGATGAATCTTCTCGCCTCTGGCGAGACAAGGACGCTGATGACCACGCCGCCACCGAAATCGGAAGAGATTGGGAGGCGCGAAAGCTATGAAACTGCGAGTCCCGTAGATCTTCGTTCTTTTGGCCCAATGACGCGTGCGCGGCTGGGAGACATCGTGCTCGCCCGCTCAGGCGACAAGGGTGGAAACGCAAACATTGGCTTCTTTATACCCACAAGCCTACCTTCCTCCTACCCACAGTCATCGCCCCTGTATGCCGAAAGCTGGGACTGGCTCCGCAGCTTTCTCACCATGCCCAAACTCCAGGAAATGTTCGGAGAAAGCTGGAACGACAGCTTTTTCATGGAAAGGGTGGAGTTCGAAGGTATCATGGCGGTGCATTTCGTAGTTTATGGGGTATTGGGCAGAGGCGTTAGCGGGAGTAGCCGTTTGGATGCTTTCGCGAAAGGCATGGGCGATTGGTTGAGAGACGTAGAAGTCGAGGTTCCGGTGAAGTTCATAGAAGGAAGGGCCCGCGGCAAAGCGGTGGCTGGAAGGTATGCGGGGGATGCGTGACCGAACTGTCTGGTTGCCAGACTTCCATCGCGTTTTCAACGCGCGTTTGTTGGAGCGCGACGCGGGCATCCGTGATTGTGGCCGGGGTTTAGAGGACCCTGCCAAGCCACCAACGATGACGTAGACGGTTAGGTGACAATCAACTCGGGCTTTGTTGCGCGTGCACAGCCACAACCGGCCACCTTCGCTACATCATCACTCAAGTGCGCCCGCTTCCCTAGTAGTGTGACTCCACAACCCTACACATCCCCTGATACAATCTTTCCGACATCTACCACTTATCCACCAAATTAGAATAAGACCTTTTCTTGCACTGCTCTTAGTTCCCAGGCCAACCTTGGCACCATGTTCAAGAAGTTCAAGGACAAGATAAAGGGCGACGACAGCTCTTCAAGGCCGTCATATGGGACAGACCAACATAATCAGCATTCAAACAACCCTTACTACAGCTCGCCTCAGGACCAGCAGCATAACATAGCGCCGACGGAGAAGTATCAAGCACCGCCTGGCCCGCCGCCGAACCAGGCTTCATCCTCGTCTGGGTACTCCGCTCCGCCAGGTCCTCCACCGAGCCACGGGTCGTCTTCTTATACTGCTCCTCCAGGGCCTCCACCTAAACAAGAGTTTTCAGGTTACGCACCCCCAGCAGGGCCACCTCCTTCGTATCCACAGCAACCCCCTCCTAGCTGGGATCCTCCGCCATATCACGACTGGACAGTCGTACCTGACACTTCACTTCTACCCCCACCACCTTCGATGGGTTACGATAGTTCTCCCACTGCTAATGCATCTACTGAAGATGGCGATCGTGCCTTGGCTTGGACGAACATGAATCCTTTGTGGCCACCGCAGAACCTGCAGCCTAGCACTCATGCTGCGATTCAGAACGGTCAGCTTGCTCTACTGAAGGCGCCGTCGTATCTGGGCGATTTGCTCCCTCAACCTCAAGCAGGCCACTGGCGTTGTCGCACCCATGCGAACTGCAGGGATTCGAGTATCCTCACAAATCTGCCCATGTACAGCGTGTTCTGGGACTCACCGCTCAACACGCAAAGATCTAAGACTGTCTACTTCGAACTCAAAGTCCTTGGAATCGGTCGCGGTGGCTTCTCCTTCTCGGAAGCAGACGCCGGTATCGCGATAGGCTTCGTTGCGCCGCCTTATCCTACGTTCCGTCTCCCAGGCTGGGAACGTGCCAGTCTTGGGGTGCATGGAGATGATGGAAGAAAGTACGTCAATGATGCATGGGGCGGTATCGACTTCACCTCGGCTTTCAAGCCCGGCGATACTGTGGGTATCGGCATTACCTTCTCGGTTCCGCGCAACCCACCATCATACGAGCAGTCGCAACAAGGAAGGATACTGGATATCGACGTGTTCTTCACGCGTAATGGAGTAAAGGAAGGTGGCTGGGATGGCAACGAGGAGCTCGACGTGCGAAGCGAGGGGGGCAATACTGGTCTGAGGGGCGAGTGCGACCTATTTCCGGCGATTGGCGTGTTTGGCGGTGTGGATTTCGATGTCTTCTTTCACCCATCGCAGTGGCTATACCGCCCATACTGAGATAACCTAGGTACTTGGTCAAGGCTCTCAGGTAAAGGCAGTATGCCACTTGCGGTGAGATAGAGGTCATGCGACCTCATTTGTATGCCGTACGACTAATGCTAGTATATCTTTTAATCTCACAGCTTGCTTGTTGAGCTCTCTATTTCCTTTTGAGGTCCGATTTAGGGTACATTCTCTTATCACAACCCATTCCTGATATCGCTCTGATAATCTCGACTCTACAGCCGCGCGCCATGTCCTCAACTACACCATACTCACCTCAGGACTTTGGCTATCCGTTGATGCTCGAAGACTTCGTCCCGGTCCCTCCTCCACCCACTGCTGTTGCAGATCAGTGCGCTTCCTGTCGTACTCCTGGTGCGAAGAAGATATGTGGCCAATGCAAGAGCATGCTCTACTGCTCGCCAGCCTGTCAAGAACGCGACTGGGTCTCCAGCCACAAGCTCGCCTGCAAGCCCTACGCCAAATCCATCAAACAACCCATCGGCAACAACATGCGACGCGTTTTGCGTTTCCCCGTCGATTCAACCAAACCTGTCTTCTCCGTTCTGTCGTTCGATGAGGAAGGTACGGTAAGCGGGCTTGGTTATCATTTCCCCGGTGTGCCGGCCCAGGAGATCAAGAAACTTTCATTCCACAACCGCTACTTTCCGTATTTCATCCAGATCAATTACGACATGAATGCGAAGGGAGAGCGTGCACTCTGCGAGAACAAGAGCCTTGGACTGCCGTTTCGCGGTCCAGTCGTCGTCTTGGCATATGACCTGGACATTGCGCTTAGTGGTCCAGCGTTGGACGCTGATGCCTCGATCATGCGGCCGTTGATGGAGTACGTTGAGCTGTTGCGCGAGTACGATGGACCGAAATTCGTGGAGGTAAGTTGTTGAGGGAGCACGTTAGGGTGATGCTGCTAATTGTGCTTTGCAGCAGCCGCAGCAGAGGTATACGGAGGCAGAGTTGGATAGTATTATGGGCTCGGCATCTTCGTCTGGTGAAGGAAGGGCATGAGTTAGTGTGGATGGAGACGAACAACTCGGAGCTTAAGTATGGGAGAAAAAGAGCTGTGCTGGAATACTAATTACCGACCTTTCATTGGGTTGTTCTTTGGCACATTGAAACTTCCAGATCATTACGTACGGAAAAAGTAGCTACAATTCTAAGCTATACCATGCCGAAATACCCATTACTATACTGCTCATTGCTCATAGATGCTTCAAGATAAGCTCTACCTCTGCATCTGCCGCCTCCAAGATGTGCTTCGGCTCATAAGCTGGTCTCCAAGCTAAGCTATAAGCCCTCTTCGCTTCAAGTGTGCATCTGTGTCTGGTGTCAACATCTGGTCCATCCTTGTGAGCATACAAGTAACACTTACTTTCCACCCAGCTGAACTGCAACAAGCTTTCTAGGGCAACCCAAGGCCTGCGCCATCTTATCAAGCGCTGCTTCATCCGCTTTCTTGACTTCTGGGCTGTCGATAATTCCACGCTTTGCAAGCGCTTTCGCCATTGCGGCGTATATGTCGTACCAGGCCACACTACCGGAGGAAGCAAGATAGTACCCATTATCACCATATTCAGGGTTCTCGTCGCGTAGAATACTCTTCAGCAATTCCACGTACAATTTCGAGTTATCGTCGATATGACATACGGGCCAAGTCTGATTATATCGTCAGTATGCGAGTGGTTGGCTTGTTGACTGTGCAATAACACCTACCCAGCCTTCTGGGTTGACATCGTACACGGCGCCGGCCCCCTTCGCAGCTTTGATCACAGCTGTGGTTTGGATCGAGATTTTGTTACCAAAACCTTTGCCTTCGCCGTATACGATACATGGAATGAAGATGTAGCTGCGGACTCCATGTTTCTCCGCCGTTTCAATGATGACATTGTTCGTGTTCGTCGCCTGAGGTCATTTCAGTAAGAGAGATTGGACTTTGAAACGCATACACGCTATTTGCCCCATACCTGTGTTAAGAGTTGATGAGGAGCCTTGGCACTCTTTTGTAGTTTGTACAGATCAGCATCTGTATCGGGAAGTGGTCGATCGATAGGCATCCCCGCATGTTCGCTGAAGATCTTTGCGCCACTGGTGTGCAAAAAGTGGACTTCGCGTCCAGTTTGCTTCTTGACTTCTGCAAGGGCTTTTATCATGGGGACCTGCATATCGGAGTTCATAGCGTCAACAAGGAAGAATATGACGGATATCCGCGCATCGACGATGGTCTTGACAACCCTCTCTTCATCTTGTAGATCGAGAGTGAGAGGGCTCGCGCCATACTTCTTCACCGCTTCCGCTTGGTCTTGAGATCTGACGAGAGCATATATGTCTTTGTGCTCTGGAAGTTCGACGTTGTGCAGTGCCGCAAGCAGCGAGCCACCGAGATACCCAGAGGCTCCAGTGATGAGGACAGACATTGTGGAAAGTGAGGCTCAGTATGAATGTGTGACCAATAGAGTTTTGTTCCTACATGAAAATGTGTTTTGTATCTCAGGCCTATATCGAGTGGTGCTAGAGATCAATCTTGACATGCTTTGTAATGTCTGGTTGGGCGATTGAGCGAGTAACCACTCAACGGCTATCTCGACGAAATGACGTAACGCTTACAAACCGCTAGTGGAGCAGAAATAACCTTGGAGACACCAAACGTCGACAGTTGTAATATTCGAAAAGAGGAGAAATTCTTGTTGGCCGACAGCAGTAGGCTCTCATCAATTCTTACAGTTTGATTCGTAACATGGTAGCAGAGCAATACAGTACACAGGCATCCCTGCGTATACAACCAGCAACTGGCATCTCTGTTGCATCCGGTGAAGAGTGCGGCGAAGTGAGTCAGACACGCTCGGTTCGGACAGACATGATACGAGCGAGTGGGTTGCAGTACTGGAATAGTATCGGGCGTGAATGCGATGGGCAGCGACGGGCATCTAGCTGCATTCGGCGAGGCTGCAAACACGGCGGATACAGCGCCCCCTGTTCTTCATGTCGAAAAGACGGTGATCGGTCGATGAAGGAAAAGGATCACCCGCTTGTGGCGTCGCAATGCCTGTGGAGGAGAAGGTTTGCCCCGCCAAACAGCGGCTGTCTTGCTGCTGCGCGAGGTCGGAATTTCGTTTGCTCGCATACAGATTGTCTTGGGGGAGGTAGATGTACAGGGTTGGTACGAGGGTATGCAGATGGATTCAAAGGGCATGTGGCCCGGGGCGAGGCGATGGGAATCTCGGCAGATCGGCATGTGCGAGGGGAGGTATGAGATGCATCTTCGATTGTGCCCCGTGCTCACATGCAATCGACACCAGTACTGGCCGAAGAAGCACCGTTGCAGCCAAAACCGAAGCATCGCATGGGAATAAGATAACCGGGTCCTGACCGCGTCAGTCTGCGCAAACGTCGCTTCCTTTTGAGGATGCTGCAGCCACTTTGTGTCTCTCTCGCGACTGCCACCTCTGCGCCGGCAGCTACATGCAGATGCTCACTCCTCCCCCCGACGAAGAAGGCTTCGGCGCTCCTCCCATGAACCCCGACGATGAATGCGCATACGATGATTGGACCGCGGCGCTACCTCAGACCGACCATATCGCCTTCTTCCGCACCACGGACTGGTCGCGCAGCCGCCTGGGGCCACTGAGCACGTGGAGCCCGACGCTGCGCATGTTCGCAAGTTATGTACTGGCCGATTCGCGCGGAGCCTGCCTCTGGTGGGGAGAAGACATCTCCAACCTCACTGCCATATACAACGAGGCGTATGCTCCCTTGGCCGGGGGCGCTCACCCCAACCTCATGGGCTCCCTCTTCCAGGATGGCTTTCCCGATCTCTGGCCGTCCATCAGCCAGTACTTCATACAGGCCAAGCGGACAGGCACTGGGGTCAATTATAGCTCTGCCATGCCCACGGTTGTCGAGCGCAGAGGCTACCAAGAGGAGGCCTTCTTCTCTGGCGGCTTTGTTCCAGTCGGCATGCCAGGCGCTATCGAGGGCTTCATGAATACAACGTGAGTTACGTGTAGTAACCAAGCTAGAAAACGCGTTTCCCAGTGACCTATTTCCAATACACAGCTGACCCAACTAGCTACGAGGTAACAAGCCAGAAGCTCGCAGCCCGCCGTACCACCTGCCTGAATACACTCGCCTCCGTGCCCTCACAATGTGTCGACGCAGTCTGCTCTCACATTCTCACCACGCTCGAAACCAACGCCAACGATGTGCCCATGTCCATGCTCTACCGAATGGACACAACCCCAGGCTCGAACAAGTTGATACTCCATGGCCAATTTGGTTTCCCCGAGGGGCACGACCTTCTTATCCAGACAGCCACTATCGATAGTGAGCAAGGACTAATACCAGATCTGCGACGAGCTGGTATAGACACTATGGTCATCGAGCATGATGAACGATTTCTTGCTACCTCGTGGAGAGGTTGGAGCGCGCCTTCCAAGAAGATCGTCGTAATGCCCATCATGAGTGGAACACGCCTTTTCGGCTACCTCGTCTTCGGCACCAATCCATTTCGCCCCCACGACGATATATGCACGCAATTCATCCGGGACCTAGGTCGCATGGTATCAAGTATCATATCTTCTGCCGTTGACAATGAATCCACCAAGAAGCGTCAAGAGCAGCTCGAGACTGATCTGGCTTTCAGTGATCTCAAGCTACGCCATCTGATCGATCACGCGTCTGTTGGCATGTGCCATGTATCTCTTGATGGTGATATGCTATGGGCCAACGATCACTATTATGAGCTAGCTGGGAAATCTCCTTCGGAACATGCCATCGGTCTTGCCTTCCTTGACGCATATCACGAGGATGATCGGCTAAAAGCTGATGATGTTTGGGAGCGTCTGATCAGAGGCGCCGACCACGTCACAGCCGACTTGCGCATGAAGCGCATGTACACGCCTCCTACCGGGGATCCCGAACCCGCCCAGATCCAGGTTCTGGCCTTCCCGTACCGCGACGAGCATGGAAGCGTAAGAAGCGTAATGGCTTGTACGACTGACATTAGCAGGCTGTGCTGGGCGCAGACCTTCCAGGCTCGATTAGCCGCCGAAGCAAGAGAAGCAAAAAGACAGCAAGAAGCCTTCATTGACGTAGTTTCACACGAGATGCGGAACCCATTGAGCGCCATTGTACATTGCGCAGATGCGATTGCCAACGCGGTTGTCGAGTGCCAGACGCAGCTCGCCGATATACCTGTACCGTGTCTCGATACTCTCAATGACAACATACAAAGCGCAAACGTCATCATGCAATGTGCAAATCATCAGAAGCGTATCATCGACGATGTACTTACGTTGAGTAAGCTCGACTCCATGCTCTTGTCCATCACGCCCGTCGCAGTCAAACCCGCAAAGCTCGTGGAATCCATTGTCAACATCTTCCAAGCTGAGATGAAGACGCACAACATCTCTTACAGTGTCACACCTGACACATCGTTCTTGAGTCTAGGCATTGACCACCTTCATCTGGATCCGTCCCGCGTGACACAAGTCTTCATCAATCTACTGACGAATGCCATCAAGTTCGTCAAACCATCGAAAGAGCCAGCCCTCTCCATCCGCTATGGCGCCAGCACCTCAGATCCACGTGAACTCTTTCCTGAAGACATGTTCTGGGCTACTGAGGGCAAGCAAGACGGCGATGTTACAAGCAATCCAGATTGGGGCACCGGTGAAGAAATCTATCTTGCGTTCACCGTCAAGGACTCGGGAATTGGCTTGCAAGAGAAGGAAATTCACAAGATATTCGAGCGCTTCCGCCAAGCGAACGTGAAGACGCATGTCAAATACGGCGGCAGTGGGCTGGGTCTATTCATCTCAAAGGAGCTTACTGAGAAGCAAGGCGGCGAAATAGGCGTGTCATCCATCCAGGGCCAAGGTTCGACTTTTGGATTCTACGTCAAGACGCGAAGAGTGGAATGGAAGCCCAGGACCCTCAAAGAGATGTTTCAACAAACCGGCAATGAGGATGCGGCAATGCGGCAACTCCACGTACTGTTGGTGGAAGACAACATCATCAACCAGCAAGTGCTCGGCAAACAACTTAAAAAAGCTGGATGCCACGTCTCCGTCGCAAACCATGGTCTGGAGGCGCTCGAGATACTGGAGAGAGAAACGTTTGACATCGTGTTGATGGATCTGGAGATGCCGGTACTTGATGGGCTTGGTGCGATGCGCGAGATACGGAAAAGGGAGGAGGAGCAGGGGGTGCTGTCTTCTGAACGGTTGCCTGTGATTGCTGTCACGGCGAACGTTCGAAAAGAGCAGATCGATACTGCTATTGCTGCTGGAGCAGTGAGTATATGGTAACTGTCGAAAGCGTTTCTAGACTAACAAGCTGTACAGGATCGCATCATGCAGAAGCCGTTCAAAGCGGCCGACTTGGTGTTGATGATGAAGTCCTTGATGCCACAATTGGCACCTTTATCTATCGATCCGCCGACACCGGGCCTCGGCCTCCGATCTAATGCACTGGTGCCTTGAACAGAATTTCTTTGGCACTTTGCTTAATTCATTCGACATCTCAATCGTCGAGTCTAGAAATCCCCTCATTGTCTCGTATCCTAACTCGAAGCGGTCCCTGGAGCACCTAGTTTGAAGCTGCGGGAAGGACGAGAATCATGTCTTCTTGTCCTGTAATCCACAGCTGCGCATCAACTTCTGTGCATATCACATTGCTATCGAGATAGGCACTCGGCGCCTGGTAGCACACATGCAGCTTGATGGAGTTCTAACAAGAATCCAGCCACAAAAGTATTTTACGGAACATCAACAGCCAGTCTAAGTCTAGCTGCATGGGGTATCACAAGATAGTGCTTGACGCCGGAAGACTACGTCTCATCGGCAATTGAGCAGGCCGGTGTGCAAGGACAGGCGAAGGAAGATCGGTTTCTGGAGAGCGGTGGGGTTGGCGCACGATGCACAGAAATAGTGGACGTCAGGGATATGGTTTTGTGAATCCTTTATTCTCACGAGAAAAATGAACATCTTGTAACATGCTTCCATCTTGATCTCGACGTTCTCATCGCAGAGTCATCACATACACAACCACCCAACGTACCACTCGAAGTAGTTGCAATCGGATCATCACAGAACGAGCGCGAACACAAGATCTCGACGTTGAGGTCGGGCTTGGGGGTGATTCTTCAGAAAGTCTTGCTTCTAGCTGTCGTATGCCATCTAGAATTGACACTAACAGGCATAGACTAACCCCGTCATGGACTCATGACGCCAACTTCGCCAATACCCGTCGTGTAAGAATTAGATAAAAAGTCTTGGCTACCACGTTTGTTTCTGGCCGAGCCGTGAGAACGGCCCTTTTCACATGCTGTCTTTGGAACATATATGTGCCAAGACACGAGATCGACCGACGATCCAAAGTTGAGATGTGCGGGACGGGACCTGCAGTAAATAGCGGAGAATAACAAGGCCGAGATTGATGTTTTGATGCGCCGGCCCGGCTTCTTGTTTGTGGTGATGCCTGGTGATACCAAAAATTAATTGTAATTGTGAGTATGCCGATCGCTGAGTGGCTGACGCACTTTGGTTACCACCACCAGGAGAATACTCTCGCTAGACTATCGCTAAAGAACGAGGACAAAGCTCAGGAGGAACGAACAAGGGTGCAGAGTTCATGCTGCTGTATGAACCCCCACAGATCTTTGGGCAACAACCTAAATCCTGAACGCGGCGATTTGACGAAGACGCTGCTGCAGATTCCGGAGGTCGAGACGTATATTGTGGCGATAGAGGCTATAGAACCGGTGGATAGGAGCTATCCGGAAAGATTTCGGTAGTGTTTGTATACATTGCATGGTGTTGTTGTTTGAGGATGGCGTAGCGGCTGGCCTTAGTTGGATTCCTAAAGAACCGGTGTCCCGTATGCGTCAGGCTACGCCATCCCTCCCAGCATGAAGCCCGTAGCAGGTGCCACACGTGGCTGTTATTTGCGAGAAGCACAGGCACGCGTCTGAGCACATTCACCGCTCGCTCCGCTCCGGCAACTACGTATGGGTCGGGAGATGCCGCATGTCCGAGTGCTTCATGCGTCTGTCTGTGCGATGAGGGGGAGATGCTAGAGTGGCTTGGCGCAAGGACGCGTACAACTCTGCTTTGTACACTGAAGCTCTTTCTCTTGGTGCATGAAGGCGATAAGGTGGTGGTCGTGTGTCGGCGGGCGCGTCGCTTTGTTGGAGAGGAAGGCGTTGGCCCGAGCGCCACAGATCGTCCGGAACGGAGTGTGGGGACTCATCCCATGTTCAAAGACTTTGCGACCCGCGGGTAACCCACGCAATGCATGATAGCCAGTTCGGAGGGTGCCAATTGCGCGCTCGTTATCCGCGCTTCAGTCGGCTCGAGAAGCTTGTCGCGGTAGCTGCATTACATCTGCAAACCTGAAACACCGTCTTTTGCTGTACTGCACACCGGGTTAGCCTAAGCCCCGGACTCTCAGCCTTCAAAACCACACTTACGCACTCCTGAGCAGCAAACAAGCTCACGCTGACGTCCGTCAATTCTTGTCTTTCATCGCTCAAAGACTATGCCGTGCGCCTTTGCAGGGGCAGAAAGGTTGTTATCTGCAGAGAGGCCATAAATGGCGAACAGCAAGTGAGTAATCAATAGCTTTTCGAAGCGGGTGGGGAAGCTGCCGCCAACGTCCAGAGCTGGCCGCCTGCACAAACTCACCGGAACTCAACTAACGGACTCCAGATTCGAATACGTGCGCGGGTTCGAGCAGCCCGACAATCTAATTCCCAACACCTGGATCGTAGTACGGATAGACGGACGTGGCTTTTCCAAGTACGCTCACCAATTCTCTCTCCCTCACTTGCGCCGTGGGCAAACTTTCTTGGTCCGGGATATGCAGGTACCCGTCACCATGTTGCATGAACGGAATTGCTGCCCCAGGCCAACATCTCGGCTATTGTACACCAACAAGGGCCATTGTTAACAACGCGCGAACAGGTTCACGTCCAAATATGAGTTCCTCAAGCCTAACGACAAGAATGGCCTTGATGTCATGAATGCTGCGGCTGTAGCGGTCATGAAAGAGCTGCCCGACCTTGTCCTTGCATTTGGCAACAGCGACGAATACAGGTATGTTGCATTCTTTTATTCGAGCACGTTGTGTTTGAGATTGATTATGCCTCCATCGAGCTGCCCAATGTTCCCAGCGCGGTATACACAGGGGTGGGGCAGCATGTTTCGGGGCGGCTTAGCTGACGTGGGTCGCAGTTTCGTCTTTCACAAGGACTGCGCCTTATTCGAACGACGAGCCAGGTACGGGAATCCTCCTATTGGTGCAACTTTATCACCTCCGGTGGTCATTCGTCTAGAACTGATCCCCGTTTAGCAAACTGACTACGACGATTGTCTCGACTTTCACTGCTTACTATGTGTATTCTTGGTCAACATACTTTCCGGATAAGCCACTCACAGCACCCCTACCGACATTCGATGGGCGTGCGGTTTTATACCCAAGCGATATCAACCTTCGACACTATATGAGCTGGCGGCAAGCCGATTGTAAGTAGTTTGATGCATCACCTTCCTCCTGCCTTTTCTTTTGTTAGACTGGATCTTTTGCTTGCTCTTGGTGTCGGTCGTAGAGTGAATCTGACCGTCGTGCAGGTCATATCAACAATCTGTACAACACCACTTTCTGGACCCTTGTTCAGCAGGGTGGCATGGGAGCGCGAGAAGCAGAGCAAAGACTCAAAGGCACAGTGTCATCCGACAAGAACGAGATCTTGTTCAAGGAGTTCGGAATCAACTACAACAACGAACCAGAGTGCTTCAAGAAAGGCACGGTGCTGTACAGAGATGTAAGAGATGCTTCAGCACCATCAGAATTCACGTCCACGTATCTAACCGTGGCAGTTTTTCCCTACACCACCGACCGAGGCATTGTCGTCACCCGTGCTGTCGGACTTCCCAACGCCACCGATCGCTCAGCCAACACCAAAGCGAGCGTCCAATCACCGGGCATCACAGTCTATTGAGAGGTCTATCCCCTATCTGCCGGACAAAAAAGAGATGATGGAGAATCCAGGCCTATGCAGACGTCCAACCTTTCTCTCCACAACATCGACGCCATCACCGCCGCCATCGCCACCTACGATTTCGAGATCAGCATTCCCCAACCCACTCAGGTCCAATCCGATTGGCTCCGATGGTGAGGGTACCATGCCAGGTTCGTCCATGCCGCTCTCCCCACCAACGACTGCAACCTGGAACAACAATGGCTCCTTGAACGGCAAGCAACATCTACCATCGTTGACGCCTTTGCCGCTGTCCCCACCAATATTGAAGCCAAGCAGCAAGCCTCCGATGTCATTGAGCCAACCGAATCCGACAACACGTACCAACTTCTCCCCAGTGACACCGCAGGGCGATTTTCCCGCAGATTTTCCTATAGCAGGCTACCGCCACCATGCCACTGCAGCGGCCAGCCATGGATTCTCCCACTCCGCTTCTGCTTCTTTGACACATTCATACCCACCTCAAGTGAAGCCTTCGCGTGTCAAACAACGATCGCCGAGCCAGCCCTCTCTGCCTTCATATTTTGCATCATCTAGCACACCTGCAGTGAAGCCCCCGTCTATACCACTGCGAATATCCAGCATTCCTGCCAACAGCAAGCCGCGGAAACTGTCTTTGCCAGTCCATCGATCAACGTCAACTCTCAAAGCCACGAGAGATACTTTGGATGAGAAGGAGAGCATCGTTAGCCCCCGAGATGCGACATCGACGCCGCCCCGCAAAGTCAGTCCGCCGATCCAAAAGAACAAGGCTCTGCCCAGTCCGCCAATGAGTGCAGAAGAGGAGATGCGCACGCGAGAGAAGGTCAAAGGAAACAGCCCACGGCAAGACTGGAGCAAGTATGCCATCAACGGCAGTGAGTCGCCTCAGCGAAGGCCGAGCGACTCAGACAACAGAGCGGGTCAAGGCTGGAGCACCCAAGACCACATCTCCCACCCAGGTATTGCAGAACTCCACGCCTTTTCCACACCAACGCAGTCTGCGCCCACATCAGCAACCTTACCATACCCTCATTCAGGCCCCGATCTCCACACCCTAATATCCTCAACATCAGCTGCAGGGCCAAGTTCCCAAGCCTTTCCCACCAGTCGCCCGTCCACCAGCAGTCGCAACAAAGACACCAGCACAGCCAAACCCTCCAAGTCCAACTCTTCAAAGGCCAGGCCGGATAAAGGCAAACAACCACAATCGGAAACGAATAGTAAGGCTGCAGCTACTGCGCCTCAACAGGCGAACGAAGGATGGCCCGTACCCATGAGTCGTACGCAGAGGGATAAAGACAAGAAGAAGCGGAGTAAGGCGATGGTGCTGATGGAGCACGTGGATATCATCAAGGACGATTTTTGGGAGAAGAGGCCCTGGATTCTGAGTGGGAAGACGGGTTGAGTTAGCTGGGCGAGGTGATTTATTGACAAAATTCTGCTTTTGGTAAGTTTTTGTCTTGTCGATGAGTTTGGTGGGTTTTCTTTCCCTTCTCGACTGACGATGACGATTTTTACGATGGGGTTGTTTGTGTGTATTGGTGGAACGAAGCAGTGTATAATAGCGGGGATGAGATGGTGGTGCAATGTAAGATGTGAATGCTAATCGTGTTGTTTATTTGAGTGACCGAATAATACTCGTCTGTAACTACATCGCGATATTGGTATAATACAGTATTCCGCACGTACGGCATGGGCCTAGAAGTCCCGAGTCTACAACGTTGCGCTTCCCGGTCAATTCTCTGCTCCGGTGCTCTCGTTGTGGCCCTTGTTTTGCGTTCAGACCACGTTTCCGGGAGTAGTCGTCAGCGGCCCCTACAGACTTGGGTATCATTCCTGACGATAACGCCCGGCTCGTCAAACATGAATCGGCGGCATATAGCCCCTCGAGCCAAGATCCTTCTACTTCTGCTCTCCGGACAGCTCCCACATGCGCTTCACGGGTCGGTCGGCCCTGAAAAGGCTGCGAGCATCCTGCGCCGACCCTGAGAGTGGTGTGATCGTCTACTGTTCTCTCCATCTACACCATTGTATCTTCGTGGTTATTGCACCTTCTTGCTCTTCTTCTCCTTGATGACTTCGACCGGCTTAGGAGCGCGCGTTTCTGTCTTCTTCTGAATGCGACGGAGGACGTATTGCTCGAGTGTCTGGCCCTTTGCTTTCGCGCGTATCTCGTAGTCGGCCTTTTCTTCGGTTTTCAGCTTCGCAAGCTTCTTAGTTACGGCCTTCAGGTCTTTGCCTGTGACTGCCGCCGGACTTTGTTCATTCTTCGATTCGACCGCCTCGCTCTTCGCCTTTTTGCTGACCGAAGCATCTCCCTCGTCTCGCTTGCGCTTCTTCTTGTCGGATTTCCCCTTGGTAGGCGCGGGCGTCTCGGTGTCGGATGCGGATGTGGGAGGCGTGCTTGCGCCGGAAGCGGGATTCGATGCGTCTGTGGTGGTCGCTGAGGATTCTCCAATTGTACCTCCTATCATCTCGCCCTTTACGAAGAAGCCATAGAGACCTCCGCGATAGATGCCTTGGGTGCGGATCTGGTCAAGCGTGCTCTGAGCGGGACATTAGCTGTTTGATCGTGCGCAGTGGTACATGACTGCATACGTCCTTGCCTGTACCAATGCTCTGCAGACTCTGGTCGAATGCGCGCAACCACCACTGGTCGTCTGTCGTATGCGCCTGCTTCTTCTTGCCGAGTCCTAGCTGGTCGTTCTTGTGCGCGATAAGAAGCGGCTTCTTGATGCCGCGGCCGGTCTGGTCGAGCGAGTGACCTGAGCCCTGCCAGCCTTGCTTGCGCAGATAAGCCTCGGCGTTCATGGCGGCGGAGGTGAAGGACTGATCCCCAACTTCGCGTCTGGAAATTTTGGTGGGGAAGTCTTGGCTAGCGCGACCGTCCAGAGCGGACCCCCGGCCATTCCTTCCCTGCCTACCTTCCTCCACACTTCAAATAGCCCCAATCTTGAATGGGCTGGTATTGGGGCCGTTCGTCCTTGTGTTTCTATTGGAATGGCATTAAATTTTGCGTGATGAGGTGATTGTAGGGGAATAGAGACAACATACACGACTGCCGCATCTGAGATAGGCGGCGTAGACGTTACAACGTAAAGTATCAACGAGACCTGAGATGAGTTCAATCAGCTCTTTCCCATGATGCCGCTCGCTCTTCACCTTCGATCCCATTGGGTTGTAGGCCCCCACGCCCCTTCCTGCACTCACCCTCGCTATCTGCGTGAGCAAGTCTTTCACTCTGGTCTCGCCTCCTTTGCTTGCAATGCACCCTCACTTCCACTGATCTTGCTTCACCTTCGGCTCGACTACCTGCTGCCTCTAAGTGCATCAACTTACAACATCCCACTTAGCCCGTTATGGCTACCTTGAAGTCTACCCAATTCATCTGGCTGCTGGCTTCAACAGTGAGTGCCGCTGTGCTTCACAGCAGATCCGCGCCCTACTATGCAGGTATCCAATTCGCTGCGGATAGACAGTTGTCGATTTCCGTCTTCAGTGACCTCCACTTCGGTGAGCGTAAGTCATCGCATCTCTCTACGTCGAATGAACCTGAAACCGGTATATACTAACAACTTGTAGCTGAGTCTCAGCGCGGCCGTCCATTCGCAGACTTCAAAACGATCGGTGTCATGAACTCAGTCCTCGACAACGAGCAGCCCGACTTCGTCGTCCTCAACGGCGATCTCCTCTCCTGTGAGTGGGTGGCCCCTCAAGACGCAAATCCGTTGATCGATCAGATCGTGGCTCCACTCGTCGCCCGCAACCTGCCTTTCGGCGCAACATTCGGCAATCATGATGGTTCCAAGACTTGCAGCACTAGTGCCATGTCCGAACACATGTGGTCGGACGTCAAGGGCAACAATGGCAAGAAACTCTCCTTCACGACGCAGTCTGTGTCTGGAGATGTCAATCAAGTCGGCTGGAGCAACTATTTTGTCCCGGTGTACAGCTCTACGGATTCTTCTGATCTAAAGATGCTGTTGTGGTTCTTTGATAGCAAAGGAGGCATGAAGTATCAACCCACTGGTGATGATGTCGGTGTTCCGAACTGGGTCGACGAGAAGGTATGAGACTCTTGTTACAGGGGTTCATAACGTACTGATTCTTGGAGGTTGTCGAATGGTTCCGCAATACCAATAACGCCCTTCGCCAGCAATATGGCCGCGCGGTTCCTAGCATGGCTTTCGTGCACATCCCGATACACGCTGCAGATTCTTTTCAACATAACGGGCGTTCCAAGACGGCGAACCCAGGCATCAACGAGGAGAGTGTAGGAAACCAGGGCGATATTTGCGATCATACTGGGAACAACTGCAAGTACAGTGGAGCCGACATTCCCTTCATGAAGGCGCTCGTAGAGACGGAAAACCTCATGGCCGTTTTCTCGGGTCACGACCATGGTGTAGACTGGTGCATGAAATGGGCCAAAGACCTCCCTGGCAACTCTCCTAGCAACGGCAACGGGCTGAATATCTGCTTCAATCGTCACTCAGGCTATGGTGGCTACACTGATTGGACACGCGGCGCGCGTCAGATCGTCGTCAAGGAGGATATGCTGGATGCGAAGGTGGTCGACACGTGGATCCGCATGGAGAACGGTAAGATTTCGGGACAGGTGTCGCTCAACTCTACTTTCGGTACCGATCAATATCCAGTGGTGGACAGGTCGAAGACCTCATAGCCTGAGTTAAAGCGACCGAGTCTGCAGCACCCATGAGATGTTAATCGCATATGTCTTCTGTCTATCTCGCGTTATGTGCTATATTGCACACTGTGCAACTTTTGGAAAAGTATGATATTCATCATCTTAGTTGATAGCTCAATTTCAGCATGACTTAAATTGAACGCCAGCAAATTCACGTCATGCTTGATGTGGGCCGAGTGTCTGCGCTCGTCAGGGACGGCGAAGGGGTATCGGCCCCACTTACGCGCTCCACGGGAACCGGCCCATGACATCATCGGCATTCTCACAAAACACCAAACACTACAGCTAGGTCTCCCGGGCGCATCCGCACAGTCTCGCCAGCGGAGCAAGCGTTTCAGGCGGGGCCTCCTAGCGCCTGCTAAGCATGGCGAAGCATTCTCGGCCGTTGTTCTTCGCGATCGCTGTATCGCTTTCATCACCCTGAGGCGTGGTCCTACCGCGACCGTTTTGTTACGCGGTTTTTCTTCTAAGATACCCTCGATCACCCTTCACACCACCGCTCGCCATCGACCATGTCTTTCCTTGAGCGTCAAAAGACGCGCATCACGGGTGACGAAGATGACGCCCGTCGACACAGCATCCTCAATCCCTCGTCCTCGGGCAAGATACCCAACGCGAAGAAACCACGCACAAGACCGCCCGCATCGATACGCGATCATCTCCCTTACCCGAACTCGACCCTCTCTCCCACTTCAGGGCCATACTCCATAGGCAGCATGGAGATAGAAGTCCCTGTCGAACACCCTCGTCCGATCTCGAACATCAAGCGCAAGGGCCGGCACCTTCTGCAGTTGGAGACTGTCTTGTTTACACTATATTACCCAGCCTCGTTCGGGAGTGGTAACGGGAACGCCCCAGGAGGAGAGAAGAAATGGAGTCGCGAGACATGGCTTCCAAGGCCGCGCATGGAGACGGCGAAGGGTTATGCGCGGTTTGCTGGCATACCGAGCCCTATAAGCATCGGCGTCTTTGGCGCGACCACCATGCTCACCAAATTGCGCGGTTTTAGGAACGCCCCTCCTGCGACCCATTGGCCTCCGGAAGGCAACATGAAGAAAGACGGGTATGAGATCAAGAACCAGCAGGGTAGTCCGCCCGAGGGCATGAACGATGAGCCCATGTTCCCACTGTTGATGTTTAGTCATGGTCTTGGTGGCTCTAGAACTACATACAGTAGCCTATGCTCTGAATTCGCGAGCTACGGCTTCGTCGTTTGCGCGGTGGAGCATAGGGACGGGAGTGGGCCGCGGACTTTCATTAATCACAAGAAGCGAGGGAAGCGGAGAAAGGATGCCCAAGGAGGAGGGAAAGCGAACCATACGGATTGCGACGGAGACGCAGAAGACGACAAAGACTTTACGAAGTTCCAGCATCTGGATCACACTGACGAAGAAATTGCGCAAGGTTATCACTATGTCGTGCGTAGTGTGAGGTTCTGTAATGCAGGAACTATTAGGCTGACTATAGCAGGACTACATCTTCCCCAAAGATAACCCGATGGACACCGCACCGAACAATGAGCACGGCGTCGACGGCGAACTGCGCAGCGCACAGATAGAGCTGCGCCTTTGCGAGCTCGAGGAAGCATACCGTGTACTCAAGATGATATCTGACGGCGATGGAGAGGAAATCGCACGACAGAATCTCCGAGGCGAAGGCTACGTTGGAGGCTCTTCCAGAGGTCTGGGCGGAATCGATTGGGCACAATGGAAACATCGTTTTCACGTAGATAAAATGACAGTGGCTGGCCATAGTTTCGGAGCAGCAACAGTGGTAGAAGTGCTCAGGCACACCGAAAGATTTACTAATGTGCAAGCGGGGATAATCTACGATATCTGGGGGTGACTATATCTTTCTCCCCATCGTTACATTGGAACTAACACATTTGTAGCGCGCCTGTAAAGCCACCTGTGGAAGACCCGAAGCACCGAATACACCTCCCCCTGCTGGGAATCGCCAGTGAAGCGTTCATGTATTGGCAGAAAAACTGGGATGCGTCCATGTCCCTGATGAAGGAGGCCAGCGAGCATGGTGCCCCTGCGTATCTTCTTACGGTCCGAGGCTCCGTTCACATCAACCAAAGCGACTTCTCGATCTTGTATAAGCATGTCTCATCGTTGTTCATGAAGGCCACCGTCCATCCGCAAAGAGCTATTGATCTCAACGTCAGCACTAGCCTCGAGTTCCTCCGCTTGGTCACGCCCGACTCGGGAGGCGGAAAGTCCATCATCAATCGATGTATGACAGATGAGAAGATTCTGGACACGCCTCTTATGGAAGACATGCCCAACGACCACCGACCGAACGACCAGTGGATAGCTGCCCGACTACGAGTTGACAATGAGTTCAGGAAACGGTTAGCTGCTGGTCTGCAAAGAAAGTTTAAGCGCAACTTTCAAGGCGGTATGGGCACTGGATACACGACTTCTGATGAGATGTGGTGTTTCCATAAACCTTCAGAGGAGGATCTGCAAACATGGATCAAGGCAGAAGACAGAGGAGAAAAGCGCATAGATGAGGATCGTGCTATTTTATCGGCGGAGGAATCTCGGACTAGTCATCATGCGGCTGCCGATGCGCCTAGATCTGCAAGCCCCTCCCGGAGAGAGGCAGAGAGAAGCGAAAGACCGGTACGGGAACATGAGGCGGAGGTAAAGGATGCAAACAGTCAGCAAACAGGGCATGGGGTTCGAGATAGATATGATGATGCGGAGAAGAACACTAGTGGGGAGTCTGGGGGTGGGCACGCAGCGGCCGCTGCAGAGCAGGGCGAAGATGAACAATCGAACAACTGGTTGGGCGTCGTGCCGAAGCTTAGACACGGTCCAGGGCAAGCATCAGCATAGATATACAACGTTAGATTATGTGATCATACACAAGCTCTAAATATCCTTGACCGGGCTAGTGCATTGGTACCTGAGACGCATGGAAGTCGTGATTGTGACATCGTCAACTTGTAAGTTGGACAGTCTCGTTCACTCGTTCATTAAAACATTGACGTCATGATCTGTATATTCTAGGATCTACGTTGTTCCCGGTGCCGCGTCGCCCGTATGCCGTATTGACTTGGCTGAAGCTACCCAAGGAAGCGCCTGCCCAGGTATCGCGCTCTGAAGCGTAAAGGGGGCCGTTTGATTTACCAAGCTAGAGAGGTTTAAACAGCTTATATAATCAAGCGCTGACAAGAAACCAGCTGACAATGAAGCGAGGGAAAAATTTATAACCGCCAGCCCTGCAGACTGCTGACAGGAGTCACCTTGGTTGTCACGTGAAGCGCTTGGCATGCGGCACTTGCCGTTCCGGGAAATTTGTTGTTCAGTAATCATGCTGCCAAAGCCTCCCGAACTGCACCAGAGCTACAAGACGCACAACGAAACAATTGGTCACACCCAGCTACTAAGGTCCGACGACCTCGGTCTTAAACATCTCACCATCAAGAATGTCTAGGGTAGGCTTGCGAGTTATAAATTTGCACGCAAATAAACCCACGTAGATGGGACCACAACGCCTGCAAACCTATGGTCATGAACCCACCCGCCCATGCACTCGTCCGCCTCTTCGCCCTACAGACAGCAGGAACTAGCCGCATCCTGTGCGGAGACGCGCATTAGCCCCGTGTAACAGCGGACCCTTGATCGATCTCGAACCTTGTGAGCTGTAGCGGCCGTTCACTGAATCGGCGCCGGAGCATCTTTTGCTTTTCCATACCTACCGTCTGGCTTGCGTCAGGTTGAACTAGTTCTGGATGCAATCTACATGTACACAACGTCTTCCCGCTATTTTTACGCGAACCAAATTACTCCATTAAGAATCTGTACGAAGCGTTTACGATTTTCCTCACAAGTGAACGATAGCGGTGTTTCAAGAGTCGGAACGGAGTGATTAGTAGTCCGTGGAGACCGACTTCGGTTCAGCATCCTTTCGCCTTTCGTAGTCAGTCTCGCTATTGGTTCCACCGAACTCCTTCGGTGACATACCTCCGGACCTTACTCTGTTCGATCAGCGGTATCAGAAGCGAAAACCAGAATCATGACGAGCTCAGAATCAGAACAGGCGCAGACATCACGGAAGCGCTCACGCAGGAGGGACAGCGTTGATGACGGTGGTGCTGGAGGGAAGAAGGCTAGGGGCCGTCCACGGGTAGACACACAGGACGCCACGGCTGCAGATGTGAGTGGAGACGCAACGTCCTTTTTGTTCTATCTACCCGATTCGTCGTTGTCAACTCTTGGAGCGGGAGGGTAAACGAGACATGCGCACCTGTCCTGATCGAAGAAGCTGTCAAGTTGTTGATGTGTTCTCCAGCTCGACCCACTGTGAGCTCCTCATCGTCATCCCCACCTCCTGTGAACGACGCTGATGAGCCTGCCGTGCTCCAGATGACACTACCCAGCATGAAGCTCCTCGCGATCCGATCTCAGCATTCATGTCGAATGTACTGACAGGTGTACCAGAGACGAAGAACTCAAATCCGGCTTGCGCAGCGTGCATATCGGCAGCGGAAGGAAACCACCATCGCGTCGTTGAAGAGTCAAAGCACACAGCTCCACTCGATAATCGAGCAGATGAACAAGGCCTTTCTAAAACTAAACGAGTCCACCGTCAAGTCAGGTCTTTTACAGCTGAATCCGAGTTTGGCCCAAGAGTTCAAGCTGGTAACGGAGACGTTCGCGAGCTTAACAAAGACAGCCAACGAAGGCCAGTACGAGGGAGACGAAGATGGTGAACACGGCGAACACGGGATTGAAGGGAATGGTGCACCAAAGCTGGCTGAACCGGAGCCTGAAGTGCAGCACATTGGATGGGGATATTCCGCAGTTCCGAAACCAGCCGCTGAGAAGCGTCCGCAGCCACAATTGTCAACACCGGATAGCTACCTTGCCCACATCAGTGCTGCATATGGCAATGTAGACTCCCGCAGGAGCGATCTGGTGGGTTGCCGTCAGTTTGGAGCTGGTTCGGTCTTCGACCAGTCGCACCGATCTTCGCAGCCTCCAGCAGACCCATCACCATCGCATACTTCATCCCAACCGACGCAGCTGCCTTTCGGGCTTGTAGACCTTCTGAGTCAGCATCAACCACCGTATGGAACATCAAACCTACACACGTACTCCGTCCGTGTACCGACGCCTGAAGCGACACCGCCAACGAACAGACTGCCCACGCCGCCTCTATCGAAAATATCGTCGAAGACGCTCCCTCCGGTCACAACGTACAGTTTCCAAGAAACAACATTTGCGAGACGATTGTCGAGGGCGGCGCTTGAGGCGGGGTTCCATTTGCTTAGCAACGCCCAAGCTCGTCCTACGGTACGTTTTCAGCTAGTCGATGTAGGAATTGTTTCTTTGGCTTCACTGTCATTTCCCCAGTAGTGATACAAGGCTAATCATGACAGCTAGGCAATCAACCGTGTCTTCAAGCTTTCTCTACCTCATGAGACCCTCGAGCAAATACGAAGCCGCTTCCGAACTATCATGGCCCGTGGCATTGACGAAGACCTGGATTGGTGGGAGTCGCCATTCCTCCATCTCGGTGGTGCAGGAACTCATTATCCGCGACGGGACGCTGCCGGCAACGTAAAGTCTGTCAGAAACGGATGGAACGTACGGCAAATTGGGCCAACAGAGAACAAGGTGCTCATAATAGAGAATACAGAAGACGGTAGGAGTGAAGAGCTACGCGGCGTGGACCTCCGGGGATACGAGGGGGAATGGTTCGATTGTTACGACGTACAGGGCTACTTGGAAGAAAAGTACTCGTGCAAGCTCGACCCGAAAAGCTCGTTCGCCGAGTGTGTCATCGAGGTTGACGACGAAGAACTGTCCAGAACCCCCAATAGTGCACTACGGCATCGGCCACACAACGCGACGAGTCTGCCTCCTCTTCACCAGAACTCCGCAAACGGATCGGCAGCTCCGTCAACCACCTCGACAAATCCGCCAAACAACTCTTACAACATCGCGGATAGTGGATCTTATGGGCTAGACCTGTCTTTTGGGAACACCGGTGAATACCCTAGGCTTGTCAACTACGAAATATCATATGATCAGACCCTGGGTTTGGATCTCGCACCTGGGTATGATTATGGGTTTTCGCATACACCCGCCTTTCACATGGACAACATAGATCTGGGCATGAACATGATGAGCGATGTAGCGGCAGCTCTACCAGTGGTGAGGCAGAAACGGAAGAAGACTGCCTGGCTAGACGTTTCGAAGCTGATTGATGGTGAGTGTACACATCCACGAGAGGTCAACAGTTGGCTGACGATTACGACAGAGATCATTATACACGGCGTGTGTCTCGGGCGATCACCGGGGTATAGGCGCAAGGACGTCGATGCAGCGGTACAAAAGGCTTTGGTGCATGATCATTAGCCGGTAGCGATTGCGAGGAGCATGCCAAGATACCCAGGTGCGATTCGAGTGCAGTGGCGGGAGTTTTGCTTCTTATGGGATGCGGTTGGCTGTTTGATGTGCATTTGATGAACTGACGACGTTTGTACCAACATTTCAATCGATTCGTATGTATATTGATCATGAGCACTACTATATTTCGAATCTGCCAGAACATTGCATCGCGTACTTTGGATGTTGAGCTGTGAGCGTGGTCACGTGTGGCGCTAGAGTAGCGTTAGGCGCTAAGGAACCGGCGCCCTCAATGATTGCCGGAACGCCGCTCACTATCACTCATACACCCACGACCCCGAAAGCTGAGGGCACCCGAACACGTCGTACAAAGCCTTCCGTCTGGGCTAGCGATATCCGTAGAACTTCCTTGACCGCGCAGAAGCTTCCTTAAGCGCGCGCACCTATCTGCAGCCTCAAGCGCTGACGTCGCCTGCCTGGCTTGCCTGCCTATCCCTCAATCCTCTGCACGCGAGCAACCATCACAAGCCGTCGCGCAGCTATCACAGAGCCCGCATCGTATACTAGATAGCTCAGACCATATCAAACAGTCGCGATCATGTCGAACTCGGTCGTGGTTAGTATCCCCAAGGCGCGCATGCGAGCGGTGGAAGGGTAAAGGCAGGCTTGCTAACAGCAACCACCAGGGCGGCGTGTACCAGCAGATCATCGAGAAGGTGATCCAGACCTCGCAGAATGACTTCGAGGAGTCGGGCGTCGATCATAGCACGCTCGACGAGATGAAGCAGGTATGTTGCAACCTGGCCTCCGTCTCGGCCAGCGCGCCTTCCTTTTCTTTGTCGCAGCACATTTGCGACCGCCGTCACACCGCTTTTTATATCTCTCACTTTTCTTGTCAATTCATTCCTCGCATCGGTTTCGCTGGCTGCGGCGATCGCGCGGTGACCGCCTGGCTTGGGTGATGGGCGGCTGGAAGCGGGGCGGAGTTGCCGGTCGGTCTGGCAGCTCCGGGGGCGCCTCAGTATTTGAGATGCCTTCTTATAGCCCCTGCACAGCTCCCCCACCCGCCAAGACCAACGCATCATTTCCCAACAAGGCATAGTCTGTCATGTGACGGCTGTTCTCACATCATGTTTTGTTGCAGTTGTGCTGAGCATATACTGACTATCGCCAGGGCTGGCAAGAGAGGCTATCCGCTCTCAAGATTGCTCACTTTCCATGGGACCCTGCTCCTGAGCCTGTTCGTCAGCCGCCTACGGTACCGTCCAACGTAAAGGTTGACAATGATATGCCTTCCGTGTCCGGACCTCAGGAGGCTCTCAACTTCCCCAACGTGCCCGTGAAGCAAGAAGGAGGATACCAGCCACCAGTTGCTAACTACCCTCCTGCTCAGACTGCGAACAACGGCTACGGCGGTACTTATGATCAAAACCAGCAGCTCGCGCACCAGCGTGCAGCCGCTCTGGTACAGCAGCGAGTGCAACAGCAAGGACATGTGCAGCAGAACTTTCCCAATCTGGCGCAACAGGGCCATCTGCCTCAAATGCCTATGCAGAACCAGCAGCAGCAGCAACAGCAGCGCATGATGGCGCAACAGCAACAACAACAGCAGCAGCAGCATCAACGACCTCCGCAACAGCAACAACAGGGAATGCCACAGCAGCGTCCCCCACCGCAAAATCACATGTACACCTCACAGACTGATGGTTCGGGTGACGCCATGGCTGACTGGGAGGCCTTGAAGGCCGCACGCGCTGCTGATGCAGTAGAGCGCATGGCAGCGGACGACTTCATGCGTTCTCGCGTTGATGCCATGGCTATGCGTCAGGACAGTGGTCTCATGGTACCGCTCGATTCGATGCCAAAGGGCAAAAAGCGCAAGGCGGCTGTGCGTGTCCTGCAGGCCGAAGACGCAGAGGCCTCGTCAAGCGCACCGGTCCCTGCGCGTTTCGACGGTGACGACGACGTGAAGCCAGAAGAAGATCCGGATGACGCCATTAATTCTGACCTAGATGACTCGGAGGACGAACTTGGGGATGGCGATAACAGCGACGATGAAATGGTCGACTATATGTTGTGCACCTACGACAAAGTCCAGCGCGTGAAGAACAAGTGGAAGTGCACGCTCAAGGACGGCATCTTGACCACGAACAAGAAGGAGTAAGTTGGGTGTTGAGACCTTGAAGAGATTTTGCTAACGATATGGCAGATACCTGTTCCACAAAGCAAATGGTGAATTCGAATGGTGAACATTCGCCACCCATTGCTAATGCCCGTGGTAGCTGAACTCGAGTTCTAAGTCGCTCCGTGCAGCGCACGAACCCCACTCGATCGAGACGCGAGTCTAGCACGCCTGATACACGATTCACCAAGCTCGATCCCCCCTTCGCGACGACAAAGCGGTTCGGTACGAACATCGATAACGGGCATCAGATTGGATACTATGGCCTCGCGCGACACTCGAGAAAGAAGAAAACAAGAAAGAAGCTGATTCCCATGACGCATTACATAGAACTATGGATGGGACGACTGGGCGTCCTGAGTATCCCTAGTTTACGCTATTCAGATTGATTTTGCACTCAGGTCAGGACTAGAACTTTGGCTGGCCTCACATGTCCAAGCATTGGCGTATGGGCCCCATGGCAGGTTTACATTTCATCAGGTGGAGTTTTTCAGCTTGAGTAAAAGAAGGAATTGTCGAGGTCGGGGCCATGTGCACAGCAAACGTCAGGACTTCTAAGTAAGAGGCTGCCAAACAAACGTTCATGGTTGCTTCATCACAGAAGACATTGTACGATTGTGGATTTCATTTCCTACTCTGTTCGGGTCTGGACAGACTAGCAAATATAAGAATTTGCAAAATCGGCATACGCTGAGCTCAAGCTCCCTGTTTTCTGCCAGTAGTGATGCCTATCGTACTCTCGTAGCATATCATCAGCGCCACTCTCGCCATCGCTTCCTGGGCCATTGTGCATCAGGGTCTCGTCAACGTCTGCGCCCTCGGCCTCCTCGTCATCCTCTTCTACCAGCGGAACAAAGCGAAAGTCTACGAAACTCACTTGTCCGCCTGTTGCCCCTCCAGGCCCAGTTTGAGAAGCCGACCCACTACCTTCAACCTCAATCATGAACTGTAGACTCAACACGCCTTGGGTATCTGCTCGTATACTGACTTTAGTCGCAACGTTCATAGCGCGCGCAGCCTTCTGTATCAAGCTAAACTTGTAGGATGAGCGGAGTACGGCTTGTGGATCGCTGAGCTGAAAGGTCTCGAGCAGGTTGGTAGGTTTCTGATCTGCTGCCTCATTGTTCGTGTTGAGGTTCGTGGATGCAGGAGTGCGGTAGGCAGAGGGCTGGGGCTGATTGTTGAACTCGACGCGCGCTGAGCCTAGGGTGCCTGATGACGATAGAGCGAAGAAGGGTTTGCCGCGCACCGTTTTGGCGTACATGGTCAGCTTCTCTGGGCTTGTCGATGATAGCTCTTGTACTGCGTCGTATAACCAGCTGCCTCGCATGATGATTTTCAGGGCAAGGGCTTGTCGATCAAAAGGTATCTCGTCTGTGTACTCTGGCTCGTACGTGGTGAGATCGCATTGCGTGCGTATGCTCGCCTCTGTCAAAGTAACGGCCAGTGGAGCACCGGGGCCATCGTAGCTTATCCGACAGAGGTTGTTCATGCCGCCTAATATGTTGTTTCCAGTAAAGGCCGTGCTGGTGGGATATGCACCATCGCGCGCCCATGGTGGTTTAGAGGTGGAGGGGTCGGTGAGGCCGAAGATTTGGAGGGTCTCAAGGAGAGCGGGAAGAGATATTTGAAACGCGGGAGTGGTAGTAGATGTTGGGTCGAGTTCATCGTCGCTATCGGAGTGTTGTGAGTTCGGCGGTGGAGCGGGCGCATTGAAAGTGTAGGTTGTGAAGAGAGACTTGTCGAGGAAGGCGGATGCTGTAGTCGTGTCAGATCTGAAATGTGCAAAAATACATTGCATCTAGACGCTACTTACCTTCCATGACGCTCGCCTCATCCACAGCGAGCTTCATGCCAATGTCGCTGATCTGGACGTGAGCCTTGTTGGAGAAGGCGATGCAGCGGAGGAGCAGGTACAATTGTCGCGCAGAGCTTGACACTGCCGTGAGGATCGGGGGCTCTTCTTCGTCCATGGTGCTGTTTTGTGAGTGTATGGGCTATGGAGTATCGCGCAGGTAGATTCGAGAGTCTTGAATTTTTTATTGGTATTCCATAGATTGTACACAATATGCCCCTAACGCCGGATGGAGAAGTAGGAAACTAGACGTATACGCCGACTGCGCAGATCATGTAGACGGCGCCGAAGCTGTTTGCAGTCAGTGGGCGCATGTTGTAGCTGGGTTTCCGAGGCCACGTACCCGAATGCTAATGACGCGGGAACACCGAGAACGGGGAGGTTTGTGAAGGACCGGTATGTGTGCGCATGAGTAGGGTTCGCTAGAGGGGCGTGGCTATGTCGCGTACTCAAGCCGAAGATGGTAGTCAAGATGAGAGCTGCGCGCGTTGTTAGCAGAGCTCCACTAAGCAGCAGAGCTTCCAACATACAGATGGCCAGCAGCACGAAGCCGACTGTGAACTGCGTGTTCTTTCCGAAGGCGGGGCTGAAGGGCGAGGACGCAGCAGCCTCCCAGACGTCTACAAGTGGGCTCGACATGTGTGCAGGCGTGCAATTGGGTTATGTAAGTGGCTCTCTCTCGTGAAGCTGCTTTGGTGGCCTTTCGTGTTCACTCGCAGGTGATCGGCCGTGATTGGTGTGGGGCGACTAGCGCGGGAGGCGCAACTTCCCCGACATTCAGTCAACACCACGCACAGGGCTGAGAGAAGGCGCGACGGCACACAGAAGGCGCCCTACACTGCAACATGGCGGGCGCGACCGACGACAGTAAGTGCGCATACCCTCCCCAGCTTCATGCGCGTCAACAGACGTGCATCGTACCCACAGGCCGGCATGTCTCCCCGCAACGACATCCCGCAGTTGCGCGACGTG